AAAATGAAGACAGAAGAATTAAGCTCTATATTGTTTTAAATTATCCACTGGGCATATATAGACTGAAGTGAAATAGCCTTCACACCAAAAGGATTTAAAGAAAATGAGTAAATATTTGTCAATTAGTCATAAGAAGTCTGTATAGTGTTTTAAAATAACACCCCGAAAGCCTCCCAGCCCCCTCCTCCCCTAAGCTTACCTTTCTGTGTCTTCCTAAGAATGCTTCCATTTGGGGAGGAGAAGGGGTGTTGAGACAAGGTGTGGCTGGCTGTGTAGCCCTGACAGGCCTAGAAGTGATATGGTGAGCATGCTGACCTTGAACTTGAACATGCTACAGCCAACCCTTCTGTTTCTGCCTCCCAAGTGCTGGCATCAAAGGCCAGTACCTAGCCAGGCATACTTCATGTAAGACATTCTTCCCAGTTAGGACTTCTCTTCATGCTAGATACTTGTGCATTGATGAAAGTGATAAATGACTCCAGTTATGTGAACTGTCTTAAACATGGTAAAATGTATACATCACTTAGCTTCCTTTCCCCAGAGAGCTTTAATTAAACATGGTGTAGGTGCTCCCTATTGCCCAACTCATCCATCATGGTGGCACTGGCAGTTGTAGCATGCTTCTCCAGGTTCAGAACTCACTCTACTACCAGGTCCTGCTTCCCACCCAGCACTCAGGAGCTTCCAGAATCCCAACATAAATATCCCAGATTCAAAATGGGAGAAGGGTGTGCAGCATTTCCTCTAATTAAAACTGGCCTTCTGTGAGCAGGTTCTTCATTCTTGTAGTTGTGAGAGAGCCCATCAATGACACATCAGTTCTCATTGCCAGGAGCTAATTATTCCTATCATATTCTCAGAAATTCCAACGAACTGCCCGATCCCTGAGTGGTGGTGTTCAGGACTGTTGGAGCATGCAGTCAGCCATGGCAGCTGGAGCTAGGGAGCAGTGGGCAGAGAGCTGGAGGGTGGATTCGGATGGAGGAGGGATTCGGACAGCAGCCAGAGGAGCTCAGCCTTGATGCTGCCAAAAGGGAAAAGCTGAAGGTTTCTGAGCAAGGCAACACCAGAGAAGGAGTTGGAATTGCCCTCTGAACACATTGTCCTACTCTGGTTGGAAAGAAGCTGAACAAGTAGAACAGCCAATTCAAACACTGCTAGTGTCATTTAATTGGGAGGCGGGGCTCCAAGGCAACATAAAAATGTGACTGGTTTGAAAGCAAACCAGACTGGACTTGGTGAGATTAGAGGAAAGGTGAATCAGTGGTGACATCATGGTTTGAGCATGTCTGAGGGCTCCACCTGAGATGTGGAAGTCAGAAAGGCAACTGGACTTCATGTAAAGCAGATGCCGAATTTGGCTTCAAATTCGTGTTGCACTTGAGCCCCAAAGTTAAAGTGAGCAGTTGAAGATGAACAGTAAGGGCACAAGTAAAGGGGTGGGGTAGTAAATAGTGAATGCAAAGTGAACACCTTGTGTCTGAAAATCCAAATTCTGAACTACTTTAAAACTTTAAGTTGACATGATGCCATAAATGGAAAATTCTATAGTTGGCTTCACATGATGAGTCTCAGTCCAAACAGAGCACTCCAAAAATGTACAAAATAACCTTCAAGCCATGCAAGGTATGTGAAACAAATGCACTGGAATTTCAACTTGGGTCCCACCCTCAAAAATAGCATTATGTATGTGTAAATATTCAAAATTCAAAACAATCTAAAACCCTTCAGGTAAGGGGCAGCCAAGCAGCATAAGAAGTCTCAAATACGTCAAATGTACACCAAATTCAGCGGCCTTCTCTACACCACCATCTAGCAGCAGTGAAGACTGCCCTTCTTGCCCATTTCTATATCTATATCTTATACTCCAAGAATCCAAAGCAAGTTTGAGATATGGAAATAAGAATTGGAAAGTATGAACCACAGCAAATAGAGATTTGGAAAGACCTCTGAGAATCTCATTTCACAGAAGAGGGAAGCTCAAGATTGGGAGGGTAATTAATTTATGCTAATTTAAAAGCTTGGCGAAGCTCTATAATTGGAACAGAATTATTCGCAGGTAGTATTACCAAGATTTTTCCCCTGAGATGCAAAGAGAAAAATAAAGATAAACAAAATTTTCATAAACTCAAAATTCCTTTTAAAGGTTGCTCTCGTCTCCCATCTTACTTGTGATCTGGTCCAGTAACACCAGAAATATTGCATGTCGTAAAATAACTCCTGGCACCAACAACTGAATAAGAGAAGTGTGTTTCCTTACTTACCATTGGCTGGTTTTCATGCTGTGGACCTTGGGCCTCCGGGGTCACTGTGAGCTTGGCTGGGAGGCAACAGAGTCCTGTCTGTGTGGAGTCAGTTTACTTCAAGCTGCCAGGAAAGTCACCTTGGATGACTTGTCACCTCAGACACCATACTCACGTTAATGGAGGGAATTCTGTGTGGTCTGTGGAAGATAGAAAGGGTGTATAAGATACGAATCCCACAGCTGAGCACAACCCAGCAGTGTTCACCCACCACCAGAAAACTGTGAGGCCTCGTCAGAAAATGAGTTAGTAAGTTTAGCTTAATTTATTAAATTACATTGATAGTGTGGGATATAGGTGAAATGTCTGTAAGATGTTATGAAACCACATATTAGAAATACCCTTTGATTTTCCGGAAAAAAACTGATTTATAGACTATGCTTGGTATCAGAATACTAAAAGAATGACACTAAAAGTATCTTATAAACTGGCACTTGAGTGACTCAAAGTCTAAAAGCCACCTATACACTTATATATAGTTAAGATATTTACTATGAAAAAGCTGTTTGCTTCAGTTCTATAAAAAAAAAAAAAACCAAGAGATCAAATCATCACTTTTGTCAAATAAGTACTGAAAAAAGAAATAGCTGTATATATTCTAGTTACTTCAGCTAATCCATATTTTGAACTGTACAATTTTTTTACAAAACTATTAAAATGTTAATATAGCACATTCCTGCTATTTGCTTGACATGTTCTTTCCTGCAAGGAATACTCATAGTAGATAGTAACTTTAAAAATATCTGCCCTACCCTTTCCTGGCTACTGATGGTTTATGGAAGAAGGGTGGTGGACGTCATTGCCTTCAGCTGTGCCCCACTGGTGAGCTCACCAAGGTCCAATGGGCAGTTTCAAACCCATGATCCCACAGATGAACCTGGTCAAACTCAGTGAGTGGGCTGCAAAACAAAACTGAGAGAATGTGGGAAGGAGACTAAGAGGCACGAAGAGGTTTCAGGGAGGGGGGAAGGATTGAGGGTGAGAGTAACCAGAAAGCAGTGTGTGTGTGTGTGTGTGTGTGTGTGTGTGTGTGTGTGTGTGTGTGTG